TGTCTGGATCTACCAAGACACAAACAAGGTGAAGGTGCAGAAGCAGCTTGCCAGGGGCAAGGCTTTGTCCAGGACTGGGAAGGAGCAGCTCAAGCCTGAAAGCAAAGAGCAGGATGAGGTGGAGTGGGACCATAACTGGACAGCCTTTGGTGCAACAACCAGCTTCAATGACTTGTCTGTCTTTGGCAGTGGTACTTGGAAAGGTTCCGGCAAGAAAGGGCTGCTTAACAAGGGCAAAGGCAAGGGAAAGAACAAGGGCAAACTAGACCCTGAAGAGCTGGTGGACATCAAGAGGATCAACCTCTTGAAGGGGCAAGTTGCAAAGACTGTGAGCAAGCTTGGCTGCTTTGCCTTGGCCACTGAAGGGAAAGCAAAAACAGAGTCACTCACTGATGCCTTCTCTGAGCGCAAGGAGTTCCAAAAGAAGCTGGAAGAAGAGGGATGGACGAATGAGGCCTTTGGCACTTTCAGCGAAGAAGTTACAGCCAAGCTGGGCAAAGTGAAGAAGGACTTCCAACTGTGAGGTCCAGCTTTTGAGCTGCTTGTAGCCTGACTCCAGTCCAGAGCCTCTTAATTCTGAAGGGTGAATGAAGAGGCTGGGTTGGTCAGCTAAAGGCTACATGGGCAACATACCACTCAGTTTCCTCAGTTAAAAAAAGGTGCCTTGGAGAAGGTTGTAAACAAAACTCTGCAGAAGAGACCCAGCCTAGACTCAAACCTCTGCAGAAGAGGCCCACCTTATAACCCCTTTGCAGGAGAGGTGTGTAATAATGTGTGCTTTCACTGAGAGTTTTGGTGTTGGCAGCTTTTCTTACCCTCAAGCATGCCAGGATACAAACAAGCCTTGGGTGTGCCTTCTGGGCCTGCCACAGATGGGCAAGAGAAGTCAGCACTTTTCAACCATTTGCTCCAGCTTTGGAGCCTGGGAGAAGGATAGCTTTGGCAGCCCATCAAGATGGCCTGCAACAAGGAGAGCTTGTCAGGCTTGCTAGTTGTGGGAGCTGGGGCACACACCCCAACAACATCAGCCGAGATATGAAAACATATTTGATTTCCCAAAGCAAAGCAAGCTATGCATTGCCTTGCAGCATACAGAAGTGCCCATTCACCAACCCAAGTACTGCCAAGAAAGAATGTGCAGAGCTGTCATTTTTTGACCCTGTCAATGTGGTCTCTGGTTTGTACCAAAGCAAAGAGCACTTTGACAACATCTTTTGCCCTGCTGGCTTGGAAGCTTTTTGGCAAGGGGTCCACAAGGATGATCCGAAATTGCAAATGCTATTCAAAGAGTCAAGCATTGGTATAAATGATTTGAAAACAGCAATCCCATGCTGGCTCCATGGGGATGCAGTAGAATACACTGATTCCCATTCTCTGGTGGTCTACAGCTGGGGGTCAGCTCTGAATGGTGGCCCTTCCTTGGATTCAAGCCTCCTTTTGGCAGCCCTTCCAAAAGACATTTGTGCGCAAGAGACTTGGGACCACTTTTGGGCCCACATTGTACCTGCATTTCAAGAGCTTCAGTGTGGTGAAAGAGAAGGGCAGGACATTGCAGGTGGATACAAATTCATCTTGTGGAGCTTGATTGGCGACCAAGAGCACTATAGCAACTCTATGCACTTGCCACATTGGGCAAATGCCCAACCATGCTTTGAATGCAAGCAGTTCAAAGCTGAATGCATGGAATGCTTGGCTTCCCCAATCCCAGCTGAGAAAATGCGGACTTTGGAAGAAGAGCATAATTGCAGGTTGAGCCACCATCCACTTTTCACCCTTGCTGGCTTCAGCCACTTCAATGTTTGCCAAGATGCAATGCATATTTTGTATTGCAAAGGTGTATTGTCCCACTGCATGGGGAATGCTTTGAAGCATTGGTGCTGGCATTCAAAAGGTTTGCAAGGCACACCCAAAGCCAGGTTGGCCACCATATTTGGCAAAATCCAGCAGTACTACAAAGAGTACAACATCACCAACTGCTTGAACACACTGAAGTTGTCAATGTTTGTTGACACCGAGAGGCCACACCAGGAGAGACCCTTCATGAGGCTGAAAGCTGGTGAGTGCAGAGGGCTGGTCCCCATCTTTGCAGCGCTGGCTGTTGATTTTTCTGATGGGACAGATATTGACCTGAAGGTCATCGGCCTCTTCCAATCCATGGCCAGCTTTCAAGATTTGATGGATATTGCAGGAAGGCATCCTACAAAGAATGAAGCTGACGCTGCTTTGGAGCTATACATGGATTCCCTGGATCATTACCAGTGGCTTCAATTGAACCGTGTCAATGACCACCAATGGCACAGCACACCCAAATTTCACAATGGGAAGCACCTTGCCATGAGCCTGGCATTTGACAACCCCACTTTCACATGGGCATTCAGAGCTGAAGACTTTGTGGGCAGAATGGCTAAACTGGGCCACAGCGTCTCCTTTGGCACCAGAGTCTTGTCTCTGTCTGTGAAGATCACAGAGAAGTACAGATTGATGATGTTTTGCAGGTTCTGGAAAGGATTGGTGTGACAAAGGGGTAAGCTTCCTCTCTGCTTTACAGGCACTAGGCACTGCAGAAGTGCAAAACTCTTCAGAGCCACCCCTCAGAAGCACAAACAATTTCTGATCCTAAGTGACGTTTTTGAGAAAATCTTGATCTAGAAGATTAATCTTTAAAATCACAATTTCACACTTACAACAACAAAGATCAATCTTTTGAAATTTTGATCTAAAAACGATGGTTTGGATCAGGTTTTTTTGATCTTGGATCCTCTGGGTGATTTGCAGTTCTCTAGTTTAGCCCGCGCGACCGTTCTGAATCTTGCTTTGAAAGTTCTCTGGGGGGTTGTCATCACAGAAACTCACGTGGTTGCAGCAGACATGTCTTGGGTGCCTGAGGCTGGTGTGTCGCGTCGTGTTAGTCAACGACAACAGGACACATGCGATTGCGCCGCATGTCGTAGATCTATGTCTCTTGTAGCCTGTAGGACGATGACATTGACGAGGCGTATCGTAGTGATCTGCCTGCTTCGGTCAGAGACCGTGAACAAGAACAGGACGCATGCGATTGTTCGGACTGTCGTAAATATATGTCTCTTGTAGCCTGTAGGACTCTACGCGTGACGACGCCGAGCAGCGGAACACGGGCGTGGATTTGCTCACTATGTTTATCGGAGAGTATATGCTGGCATGGGGTCCGATGCGGTCCTTGCTTGCAGCGCAGCATCTGACGTACGATTGGTTGACATCGGTGCGTGCGACTGTCGTGGACGTCTCGGCAGATGTTTGTACACACGGAAAACCTATGCTGCAGACTCAGCTGGACTGCTTCTTTCCGAAATACATCAACGGTCTGTTTGTTGATGCAGCCTTGGTCCAGCAGTATGCGGACGCGAAAACATTTTTGGAGGAATCTCGATCTTCCACTTTGCGAGGTGTGTGCTGGTTTCGTTCTGGAAGCCAGGATGGGTATGACGGTGGAGTCTGGAAACCTGCTTTCCAAGGACCAAGATCAGTGGAGTCGTTGGCATCACCTCTGCACGAGATATGGAATGTTGTTGCCGGTTCTCCCTGAGACAGGGCTGAACTACTATGAAACCTTCGAAGACAGAGCTGGTAACCAGTATCATTATCCTCCAAAGACACAGAGTTACCCGTTGCAGCAGCATTTGGAGGACGCAACATCGCACAAGATGCAGAAGACGAAATGGAAACATATGCCACCGTACCGGTATCATTCCATGTACAGGATTTTCAACTTTCTGCATGAGCTGTTGTGGAAACACTTCTCGGCGATGGACAGAATCCAGACGAAGCGTGCAAAAAACATCGAGCAATGGGCTCAGAGACAGGCCCGCAGAATGCAAGATGAGATGACTGGGAAGCCACATGCCGTTTTTGACACTCTGTCTCCACTGGCGCAACACCTGGTGAAGGTTGATGAGTTCATCCAGCTCATGAAGCGGCGCCTCCTCTGGCTGGCCAAAGAGGCATCCAACAAGAACATTTTCGGATTCACTGACCTGACAACTGAGGATTTGAATTTAGACGCTCTGGTGGTGGAATGGGCGCATGCGGTTGCGTACTTTCTGCCCAAAACCAGATGGTTGAAACAAGCTCAACCGGTCTTGCCTTCTTATAGAGGGTGACACCACGTGAACTGGCAATGCACTTGATAGCTTTGATGGTCGTTTCGAGTGTGTTACGTTTTGAAGGTCTCATGCAGATCTGATCGCAAAATCCAGAGCCTCCAAACTTCTCTCTCCGCCTCCTTCTCTCTCTCTCTCGTCCCTCTCATCCTTGTTCATCACATCATCAGACACTTTATCACACACCCACACACACACGCACGCCATCTTACCACACACACACACACACCTCCTCCCTCCCCTCCTTCTCATCCTCGTCCATCACATCATCACTTATACTACACGTCTTAGCACAACCGCCTCATATACCTTCTCCTCACGCTTCGTTCTTGACTTTTCATCTCACTACTCCGTCTCCCATGTGATGTTCATATACATGTGAAATTTGTAAAACTTATCATGTGGGGTTATCCGGTCCTTTTATTTTTTTCAGTACTGCCGTGGCTTCTGCAGCGGTCTGGTGATTTGTTATTCTCCCTTTGTACAAAACCCCCTCTGCGGGATTCAAACAACAGTTGATTAGCTTGCGGTAGAGTAGTCAGCAAATGAAAGAACATTTCCCTACACAAGTCCAGTCTGACCCAGTCAGACAAACCTGGTCCTGAAAACCTCCGTAAAGAGTCGTGTGTCGAAAGAAACTGACCTGCAACAAAAACCGACGCGCGTTTACAAAAGGAATGGTTACTCTTCATGTTTATGAACCCTGGTTTTGCGGATCAGGTGATGTGTTTTTCCCAATTGTGTAAATCCCCTAACCTGCGCCTGCGGGAAGATGTTATTTTTATCTGGATCCTGGACAGCAAATCCAAGATGAACTGCAGGTTATTTTTCAGCTTTATTGACTTCGTTTTTTGGTGTTTTCAGGTCTTCAGCCCCTGAAGTCTTGGCCAAGGCTCCTCAGGCACGCGACTCGACGGGTTTCTGGGTGCTCCGTCCGTGCGGCAAAGGGCAAGCAGGGAGAGTGCCGGTTCTTTTGAAACTTCAGAAACACCCCTTTTTTTTTTGTTCAATATTTTTGAACTCTTTTGGTTCAATATAGTGTTAATAGTTCGCAGGGTGAACCATGTTAACTCGGCCTAGACACTCAATGTATGGAATGGATACCCACATGGTCCCCGGAATTCAACCACCCCAATTGTAGCTCAAAGATGCCAGTCACGGGTCTATGGTTTTTGTATGGCGTATGATTTTTTGGTTCGCAGCCATCGGCCGAAGCATAACGTCGGCGGAGTTTCCCACACACGACCTGTTTGGGACTGGTTCATGCCGCCCCATTGCCTCCCCTGGCACCACCCCAATTGCTCGGCAAATAGAGTAGTCCCATGGAGTGTTGAGGTTTGGGACTTCCTGACTTCCGGACGAAGGAAGGGTGGCAGGCGTGGATTGTCACCTGGAAGAAACTGAGGGACGTCCAACTCCAACAAACCCGTCCACGCTCGTTCGGTTCGTTCCGAACGTTTGCTCGGTAGCTCGGCACGGACGAGGCCAGCTCCTGGAATTCCAGGAGTGCCAGCGCCCGCTCGCGAGGGTCAAACGGGCTGTGAGGGTTTGGTTCATCGCTCGCTGGGAGGCGACTGAATTCACGTGCGTAAGTGAGGAGTTCTCAGGGTGCCATGGGCGTGAGCGCTGAGCGAATTGGTGACGTGAGCGCAACGAGCAGGTGACGTGCCCATCGCAGAGCAAAAGAGCATGTCATCATGAGCTAGGGTTTGCCATCTCAAGGGTTTTCTTTGCTCAGTTTCTGGCATGAGCAAATATGAGAACGATAGACCGATAGACATTCGATGGATCGGCTCCCTGTTCAATCACCTCAAAAAAGGCCTAAAATGGCCATCAACATCATTCACTCCACATCCACAAGTTGGACATAATGTGTTCCTTAAGAAACCAACCAATTCCTCGGGACACGCTCCTCGTCGTCGTTGACTTCGTCCCTCTATATCCAGGACCTCGGAGCGCGCCCTGGCGGAGGTGGCCGGTTCGGGACGGGTCGGTGCTTCGGGTTCGGCGCTTCGAGCGGAAACAGAACGCACCGGACACGGACTGCTCATGTCGTTTACTGTCCTCGATGGACAGTGTCGGCATAGCTACCTGCAGTGGACAGCTAGTGAGAGTTGCATCTGGGGGTATCTCAAGGTCTATTGGCTGTATATATCCCCTCAAATACTGGCCTCTTACGGGTGTTACGCTTAAGACCTTGAGAAAGTTCCCATGATGGTGTATCTCAAGATTTCTATACTACATATATACACCATAAGCCTGTGAAACCCTCACATGGTGTACCGTCGACCTCAAGCTTGTGGACGTTCATGAAGATGGGTTTTGGCACCTCAGGGACTGGAATCCAATGCTGGACTTCCTGCTGCCCTATCAGGGTCCAGGATGGTCCGGGTACCTGAGTTCCTGACCAAACCAGGTCACCGACCAGGGTCGTGGTCGTGGTCGTGCCGGTCGGGGGCCGCACGTGGACATCCGAAAGACGGCCTGATGGTCTTCGACCCTGGGGATTTTCCAAGAGAGGTAGTGACCGAAACCATAGGATCGAAAACCTGGGGTACCTTCTGGCCTAGGATAGTCGAAGGAACTCGGGTCTTGAAAAAACCTCTGTTGGTTCTTGTCATGTTCCACCTGCTTCGATGGGCTGCCAACTTGGAAAGGTGTACCAGTCTCCGTCTGGCCAGATGACCAGGTTGCAGGTGACCAGCGGTGCACAAGGAGAAAGAGTTATGTTCTTCTTACACCGCACTAAGGGTCATGTACATTTACCCTATATATATATAATCATTGATTTATAGGGTTAAATTGGAAGGTCCCAGGATATAGTTGGAAGGTCCAAGAAGCTTTTCAAGCTCCAGGAAGTATTTGGAAGGCTTCAGGAACTTAGATGATTAAACCAGTGATTAAACCATAGCAGCACCCAGGCTCGGAAATAGACACCCCAATGCCAAGTCAGGTGGCTCTGGTCTTCAACGCCCCTCCTAAGCCCTTCACAAAACCCTTCCTAAATACTCAGACTGGCACTGGCATTTGTACCTGCAATGAAGCACCACCCCTCTCCGTCCAACGCCAGGATTCCAGACCATCCATGGGGGTTGATCCCTAGACCTCCTGGCCGACCTTCCAAGGTGGGACAGCGGGGGGTCAGTCCCTCACCTGAGGAGCCGTTTCGGAGCCGTTTCGGAGCCCTAGGGAAGGTCGGAGAAGGTGTACCGCAGGTCACGATTTTCCGACTCCTCCAGTTCCATGGATGGACTGGGATCCTCCACAGCCTCGAATTTCGGCAGGGGGATCCCAACGAGGGCGACATGGCGAAGTTCCAGGCGCGGATTGGACGGGTGGACCTGGTGCGGCGCCAGGGAAAAGCTACTCTAGCTAAGCTTCATTGTTAGTAGCAAGCAAGGGCCTCCAACCTAATTATAGCGATGGCCTCCACCGAGTAGCTTCGGTCGTTACTTCGAAGCTTCAAAGACATGCAAATTACTATATATAGCTTCTTGTGACAGTGAAACGATTCCCAGTGAAACGATTCCCCAGCTGGGTTCTGTAGACATGTTTTTGTTGGGATGTACCTTATAAACATTGGGATGAGCGTAAGACACATGCAGAACATCACCCGAGTGGGTGATCTTCGTGACCGTCCGAGTTAGGCGATGGGAGACGTACACTCACCCTAGGCCTCCAGTCGTACCTCCTCAGAAGGTATTTCGACCCTCCAAACCCCCAGACCAACCTTCTGAGAAGGTACCACTGGAGCCCTAGGGTACGTAAACCAGACATGGATTGTTTTGGGTCGCAGGGGACGCCGCAGAGGGTCAGCAGATCCCGAAGACTGCCACGCACACCGAGGCGGTGCTTGCCACCTCCGCCATGCACGCCGCCTACGTGTCTGGGGGCACAACCGGCGTTGAGCAAAACGGGCCGTGGAAGACGTTCGCCAGAGGGACTTGCTCGGCACAAGAATGGGAAGGGTTCCCAAATGTTCCCGTTCCCCAAAAGCAATGGTACTTGTATTGGATGCTTGTAGACATTTTCTAAGGTATTTGGGTCTAGGTGTGTGAGATTGTGTGAGTGTGCTTTGAGAAACGAAGATTCTTTTGGCTCATGGCAGCTTTCGTTGTGTCGGTTGAGTGGTTGTTTCCGTTGCTCGAGCCACCGGCAGCAGATGGAAGTGGGAAGCATTCACTTTTGGTGGGCCCAGCGAATCCCAGTCAATCCACTTCATGTTTGTCTCTAGGGCTCCAAGTACCTTCTGAGAAGGTGTTTCGGCTGGGTTTGGAGGGTTCAAACACCTGAGGAGGTACTTGGATCCCTAGGTTTTGCAGTGTGCTGACGGCATTCTGGAGCGGTCTCTTGATTCGTGGCCCACTGATTTGATAGCCTGAATCCTGAACAACCATGGTTTTTTACTGAGGGTTTTAACCTCCGAACCAGGTCCACCTTTCATGTTGCATGGTCTTACATGATCTCACCAAAAGCCATCTCAAGCTCTAGCGACCACGGTCAGGTGTTGCAGGATTTGGCCGGTCCGACCAAGGCATCGCATCAAAGAAACCTTGGAGGCTGCCAGCGCCCTGAACCGAGAGGCCCGCTTTGACCCACCGGAACGACCGGTGACGAGCGGACTCATGCGGGGGTCCGATGTGTGAGATGCCATACCTGGAGAGTAAAAGACCAGGAAAACCATCCAGGAGCCTCAGTTCGCTAGGGTTTTGACCCTCACAAGCAGGGTGAAATGGACCGAACCGACATGTAGCAGTTGGTTCGGGTCCATGAGCCTATGGCGCAGGGGACTAGCATCTCTTACCTACATTGGCCAGCTTCTTCAGGTCACAAAACTTAAATCCCATGCACTGACTGCTTTTTTACACCAGGCCTAGTGTATACAGGACCTGAAACCAGGGGATCAAAGAGGTCATGTTTGAAGGGATCAATGTATACAACACATCATGGGTCAATGTATATCTTCCAGTCTTATGGTGTGGGAAGGGAAGGGATGGAGTTGGGATTGATGCTGTTTGGCAGCTGTGGGATGGGGGAAAAACACCTGTAGCCGCATGTAGGCCTTTATAACGATTGGGGGAAAGCCCAAAATCACCTCATCGCGGACAAAAAAAACGCACCAGCACCGACGGCCAACAGGTGTACCAATTGACACCTGCACCACATCTCGGTCCCTTCTCCCCACGTTCACAAGGGTCACGACATCGGGCACCACCGTCTCACGGATCATTCCATCTCTGGGCGTCCGCAGCCCTCAGGGTGCGGCACCATCCGAATCCCGGTGCCACGGACCTGGCAGAGATGCGATCGATGGCTGCGGTTGTTTCGATGTTCGAACCCGCTTTCATTCTCTCTTTTCGGTTGCTTTCAGGCCCAACAAAAACATGTTCACCTCGGACCTCCCGTATACACCCACCCACCCACCCACCCACCCACACACGTCCATGCCACGTCCACGTCCACCCGCGTCGCGCGCGGCCGCACCAAACGGCATTGGGCGAGGCCTCGGGCGTCATCGGCGCCTTGGCGGGCAAGCTGCAGGAGGCCGAAGACGACGGCGCGACCGGCGACTGGCGACGGCGGGAGGGAGGAGGAGACTAGGAAGACGACCGGAGCCCTGGAGGCCCTGGGTTGGGAGGCCCTTGGAGGGATGGGGTTGGACTCAAACATGCAGGAACAAAAAACACAGGATGTGTATACATAAGAACCTTCCAATCCCGCTGCCACTCGGGGAAGATTCTCAGAAGTATGCTTTTATGCTATCGCAGGACCTAGGACCAAGATGAACGGCAGAACATGGCAACTAAACGTTCGGCGAGTCGCATATCATGTTGTTGTCGCTATGGGAGGAAGCGTCAATGTACGATGGAATTTGCAGCCCGTCAGCGACAACTATCTAAAGACAAAGCTGACAGAGAAAGATGAGTTCTGGACGAAATTGTATGCAAAGCTCATGTCAGAGTTTGAATTCGAGAGATGTCGCTAATACCCGAACGCGCCAAGTCATGACTTTTGCTGATGAGCTTGATCAAAGTGCCGGAGGAAGCTCAAAGATATGAACGCACTGCGATCTAGCTTGCGAACAGGCATGAGAGCAAAGATGTGGAGTTGAGTGTGGAACTTGATTGGCGAGACAGGCATCCATAAAATGGACAACTTGAGAGGACAGATCAGAAGTGGAAGGAATCGGCTTCTTGATCTTCGTGACCGACCTGGACTACACTACCTGGACTGAGACAGACTGAGACAGACAAACCGAGACGGACTGGTTTCGGCCCAAGAGCGGGATCCGACGTTACCACCGGTAAAGTCATGGATAGGCAGAATCCAGCAGATGCACTACAGAGGACTTTGCAAAGAACCTGAAGGATGACACTCTTGTGAAACACCCTTGTAGGACACTGTAGGGCACTCTTGTCGAAAACTCCTGCGGGACACTCTTGTGGGGCACTCTTGCGGAACACTCTTGTAAGACACTCTTGTGGGACACTATTGTGGGACACTCTTGTATGGCATTCTTGTGGGACTCTCTTGTCAGACACTCTGGTGGGACACTCTTGTAGGGCTCGGTGGGATACTCAGACGGGACTCTTGAGGAGCACTAAAGTCTCCAGAAGTCAACATGTTAGTGTCCAAAACGAGCGTTTCGTACGAGACACCCTCTAAAAGTTTCCAAAAGAAGTGGATCGAACTGTATCCAGTGCGGATAACTGCCAGGTTGAGGGGTTGGACAGCTTGGTTGCCGATGGTCTGGCTGCACTGAGCTTGGATCCATCGAGATAGATTCTCGAGATTTGGATGTTCGGTGACATTGCGGGTGTCACCAACAAAGCACACCAAACAAAAAGTTACTATAAAGTCAGAGGGTGGGGTAGCTCTGGCGCACAGTTTGTTTTTATAGATCTATTGTGGTTGTGCAAACATTTATGGACTTGTGCACCCCATTCTATAGTGTTGTTTTCATTCGTCTGATTTGGCTGTCCTGTGAGCTAAGGATGTCAGTTTTTTGTCCATAATTGTCTTGATTTTATCGTTTTCAGTGTGCATGCATCCTGAAAACGGCATTCTATATATAATCCTACCCCCCGAAACCTCAACCCTGCAGGCTACGTGCTATAAAATGGGGAGGGACAAACAACGAAATTCCCACGGGGGAAGGCACAGATTAAATACATCTAGCTTGCCGGCTCATTCCAACGGAGGATCCGCAACGTACTTCACCTTCTTTGACGAAACAACAGCGCCGGGGACCCCGCGACCTTCAGACCCCTCCGCTTCGGTCGGTCGAAAACACCGGCAGATGGCGAAAGACCGGGAGTTGTGGATCCACCGGTGCCTGGCGGAGAAGGAGATCCAGTCCGGGCCCCGGCGGAGGTCCGGTCGGAGCTCCGCGCGTTGGTTGGGTCATGTGGTCGGACCCAAAGAGGTCGGAGAGTGTCAGACGGCGGGTGGAGCTCGGCCCAGACGCGAGTGTGAAAGGGAACGGATTTGCTGCGGCACGGCATAGATTGGGGCGGTTTGAGGCATTTGTTTGGCAGTCCCTGCCTGGAATTGGTTTTTGGCGTGGTCTTCGAGAACGGTTTAAAAGTAGTTATTTGGGGTTTAGAGAGGGGTGATGAGCAAAACCCTGGCAGTGACGTTTTTGCGGTGCGAGACCTTGGTTTTTGGGTTTGTGTCTTTTGTTGTTTCAGCACATCGTCCAGTGTGGGTATGCCGAAAAACAAGTAGAGGGATTGCCCTACCTTGGTCAAGTTCACCACTTACACCAATTGTTGTTGTTTGCCTTGCAGTTTTGCCTGTATGTGTTTGTTTGTTTGTTTTGCAAGGTTATTTTGCAGATATATATTTTTTTGTGGCGCAAAATTCCATCATGATATGCATTCCCCAAAAAATACACCCAAGGTTTTGAGAAGATTTGTTTATGTGGATGCATGTACCAAACAGTTTGTATGTGTGTAGCTTGTTGTGAGTGTTTGAGAGCCATTCTGACCCAGTTTCTTGAAATCCAATGTTTTTTTGCAGCTTTTGCGAACGATTTGTTAGTTGCCCGAATCCCTGGTGAATCCGGTCTCATTCTTTTGTTCATTCATGTTTGCTTCCAAAACCGGAGGCGCCAACCCAATTCTCAGGCAAGCCAGCCACTTGCTGAAGCGGGCCGTGCACGAAAGGTCCTCCACGCGTCTGCCGCGGCGGTGGTGGGCTTCACGGGTCCTATGTGGGACGGTCCCGACGGTTTTGTTTGGGACTCACACACACACCCAGCCACTCCATGAGACTGCCATATTTGCGATATTTGCCTGGGGGTCTTGCCAGCCACTCTTTGTAGCTATAAAGTGTGCAGTGGCTATGGATATTCACACCCAGATACGACACATGGGACTAGGATTTCCTCCTTGTTCACTCGATCATAGGGATTCATCGAGTGAAGTGAATTGGAAACTCCTACCCCTAGTTTCACCCACACTTGATTGTGACTGTGAAACTGTTCTTTGCCTGACACTTCACATATATAGAATTCACACCTTATACCACGTAGGAATGTAGCTAGATCTTTGATTAGGAAGCTCAACCACCAAATACAATTAGATAGAAAAACAAAAAGTAACCTTCCCTTTCAACATGTCGTGGACCAAAAACGGTGTGTTTCTATCTTGTTAGGGCTCCAGTGGTACCTCCTCAGAAGGTGTTTTGGACCCTCCAAACCCACCCCAAACACCTTCTCAGAAGGTACTTGGAGCCCTAGGGCCTAGGGTCTATTATGGGGACCACTAGTTAGGGATCACAAACACGTGACGTAGGACTCCGTTGGACTCACCCCTAGGCTCGGTCAGCCGCGTCCTTTGGACCCAAGGGCGCCAAGTCACTGGACGGACTCAACCTGAAGTGGTCAATACCTGGAAGTCCGCCTTGGAAAATGACCACAGAGGTGGAACGTGACCTGGAAAACCTGGGGTACCTAGGCGAGTAGATTGTTTGACAGGACTGAGCCCGCAAAGACCACACCATGATTCTGACATAGCTTCAGGTCGATCCACACGACACCCGTCGCCATCCGTCGCCCTTCAGGTTCCACCCAACACCCTTCTCAGCCGCCGCGGCCGGATGATGGAAAACATGTGCCACCGTCCGAGGGTGCAGCGCAGCGTTGGGACAGGGGAGCTTCCGAGGAACTTCGAACTTCCAGCTGAGGGAAGTCGTTCATTCCAACTGTGATGACCCCCTTCTGCAGATTAGACTCTCAGAACCCTATAGTGCTCCAACCTCCTGAGAAGATGGAACAGGGGTCAGTCCCCACCGGTTCACCGAGATGGGACAGGAGCCCGGTCACGGGGATTGGACTCTCAGAACCACCCTGTGGGTTTTAGAGGAACATGGGATTTTCCCATGAAGGTCAGACCTTCAGGCTCCTTCAGGGGTCCATGGGTCGTCTGGAGGGCGCCAGCGGTGTTACTTGAATTGACTGCATTGAATGACTGGGTTACTTGAATTGACTGCATGGATATTGGTGGGATAGAAGTGGCTGGGTCTGCTGGGTCTGAGTCTGTCTGAGTGGGTTGTGAACTGAAACTTCACACCCTCATTGGAGAACCAGAGGAATTCGTTGATCAACGATACGCCCCTGGCTTTGAGACCGGAACCGGGCGAACGGCATGGGTCTCCGACCGGATCCGCGCCGGTTCGGGCGTGGCTTGGACCGATCGGTTCCGCTCTTTAACCCGAAGGGTCAACGCTCAGAATCACCCAGACGCGACCCAGACGCCCTCATATGGAGGGGAGTCTGGGGAGTGTGGGGTCTGTAGGGTTTTGAGGGACCAGTCGGGCTGTTTTCACGGAGCGTCTGGGCAGGTCCTTTTCTGGGCACCGGTCCTTCGGATGCCGAGCGGCGGGTGGTGTTCCACCCGGACGTCGGCCCGATGGTTATACGGATCCCAACGGGAGCACCCGGAAGGTACGGGAACGTAGTGGTTTTCATATGTTTTCATTGGGACGTGATGTTTTGGGGATTGGGAGGATTGACCCCAACGAGGTGTGCGAAAGTCCGGACCATCAACCAATCTACTCTGCCTGCGGCGGCGCCAGTCTGACCCGGTGACACCTGGTCCTCTAGTCTATGTACCGGGTATACCTTTTTGAAGGATGTTTTTGTATGACCAACGTCAGGTTCCATCATTCCATGAGGTCAGTTCCTGACCTTGTAGGAACAGAAGGTGGAACGGACCCGTCATCCTCCTGTCATCACTGCCGACAGCGCATGATCGGTTTTTCACACGGTCCGAGACCCAGAAAAGGATCATCACTCCAGTTGGTCCAGTGCTTGGGTACAACGACTGGGAAGAATTCCGGTACACCTTCTCCCATCACCTTCTATAAGAGGGTGGATTTCAAGGGCACGACTGGACCACTGCCTGATGATTCTTGAGGCTTGGGGAGGATCCCGTAGGATCTGTAGGCGTCCAATCCGGATGAGAGAACCTCGCTCCGATGGCTTCTACTCCGATGAAGACCAGGTTCTATAGACTGATGGACTGATTGCCAAGATCTCCAAACATGGTGTCCGGCTTTGTTCTTACCCAGACGCGACTAATGGGACTGCCATATATGCCGCCCCATTGATCCCTCAAACCACCTCAATGTAGGCATATATACCATACATGGAGTGTCTGGCTTTGTTCTTAGAGTTCTTATTTAAAAAAAAGTACTGAATGGCGTTGCCCAGGCGTTGCCACTGACCCGTCGCTATGCACCAAAGATGCTGCGCTCCTTCGCCTTGGCTTCAGGGGGTGGTTCACGGGAGGCGTTTCCTCCTACCCCACGTGTTTTGTTCAACACGTTCAACTCAACTTGCTTGAAGCTGAATAGAGTCCGAGAGATTGATTGCAGGCAATACAATTCACCAAGTTTCACACACACTCCTCATGAAAGGTTTGCTTCGAGCTGCGTGTGTACAGTTGCCGACGCGTTTTTCCCAAACTCGCTTGCACTTGCAGGACAACATAGCTGTATGCCCTTGAGAAAGAGAAACACCAACATCTGCAGAGTCACAGAACCCCATAGACATTCTCAAGAACACCCCCAACAGCACTCACCACGCACGCAGAGTCCGTGTACGCCTTGTCAGTACACCAGCCCGTCTTGCGTTGCGGAAGCTTCCAGTTGGAAGAAGGACTGGAGGATGAGAGTTCTCGGCGCGGTGGTCAAAAATGTGGTCAGCGCAACGAAACTCATGGCAACCGTTCTGGTGTATTTTGGTATATTGATGTGGTCTTGGTCATGGAAGAGAGATACTGCGCATTATGCGCATTATGACGAAAAATGCAAAGCCTGTGGAGAGTCATATACGGAATGAGTCATCAACTTAGAGCTGCTGCTTAGAATCTTGAAGTGCAGATTTCGTAGCAGGCGCACTATATTGTGGTCCTTGAAGTGTAGTGCCGATTGCATGGAGAAACTCATGTGTGTGCTCTGACGCGTGTGCCTTTACATGTCCTTTCATGTGTGTGCGCTCTAGACCTCCACCCCTAGACTAGAGATCTAGAGATCTCTCTCCACCCTGACCTTCCTCCAAGCCTGTGCCTCTGTGAGCCTCCATCGCCACCATCACCACCACCCATCACCACCATCTCCATCGCCACTACCACCATCGCTACCATCACCATCATCACCACCAACCATCAACACCATCACCACCGCCACCGCCACCGCCATCATTACTACCACCATCACCACTCTCTGGAGTCCAATGCATCCAGATCTCTAAACCTTCTGCTTCTACACTTCTAGACCTTAGACCTTCAGACAGTTATTATGTGTTTTTATTTCTTAGGGTCATCCTGACAGTCAAGACATGGATTGGTATGAAATGGTCAACAAATTGAATGGCCAACCATGAGGGGGCATATATGGTACCATCAAGTGTCGAGTTGCTAGATCCCACATATGTATGGTACCTGCCAGACCTGTCAAGCGCCTTCCATGCTCGTGCACATCGCAGCTTACTTCGCGCGAACCAACCTCCACCTCGGCCACGTGCTTCCAGAAACGCAGCGACCGGTCGACGAGGTCGTCGCTCCGGGGGTCGCTGTTTATGAGGGTTTTTTCACCCATCTGAAGGGTTCATGGACCCGTGGATCACCGGATGGCATCAAAGGAAGACCAAACAGGTGGTGCCATCCACTTCCATGTGAGTTCCAGGGAGTCTACCCAGGCTCAGAGACTTGGCTGCGTCGACTCCACGTCTTCGCTGCCCAGGACGCCGGCGCCCGGTCGTTCGCCCAGCGGGACGCCGCAGCCGCTGGAGCCATGTCGAACAGTCAGGGACCCCAGACATGACAGTCTCCTAGCAGCTGCAGCTGAACTCATCCTGGTCTTTGCGTGGATCAGGTGATGGTTTGATGTTTTTTCCGATTGGTAAATTTCTTTGGGGGGAATTTGTGTCTTTTCCCCACTGGTTCCTTAGTCAAATCCAAGTCATCCAACAAGTCCCACTTATACACTTAAATATATATATATATATAAGGATCGATATATTATAAGTTTAAGTACAAAAACCAGATTCAAGCGCTCAGCTTTGGGAGTTCCGGTTTCCAATATGGGTGTGGGTCAAAACCTTCAACTCCCCGGTTGGTTCTGTCAGGTAGTCCATTCTGTTCATGTTGAGACCCATCAACTATTTCAATTCATCCAACTTCTTGCGCCAAACAGATCGAGCGGAACTCCAGAACCACTGGCCAGTGGAAATTTGGGGGACTCACAACTCACTTACATAGTAAAGGGAAAGAAGTAAAATATTCCGTCCTGAGACATGACCGATTGGATTCAGGGACTGGCATAATATACATCCTTGATCAGCATGCCTTTCTTAGACCTGTCCGGCCAACGTTTGGGATGGGTTTTGGGGTGAAGCTCAGACGACCGGGGCGATCTCCGCATTCAGATCGGAACTGCATGACCTTGTTCTAGAAAGTTCAGAGGGCCCTTTTCAGAGGCATAGACTGCGGAGATGTGCTTCGCTATGCTTCGCTTGAGCAACCCCAGACACTCCATGTACGGCCTATTTGCATACATTGAGGTCACTCAACCTATAATGTACAGAAGGTAGTCCCCCAGCTGGACCCATCTGGACCCTCCAAACCATCTAAAAGAGTCTTCGTCCTCACCGTACCTCAGTGGATCTATATAGGGTACGGAGCAGGTGCTGTTGTTTCCTCCGATCCTTTCCGTCGTTTGGTGAGATTCGATCCACCAGGTGACGGAACCTTCTTGACGGTGCCATGGCAGAGTGACGGGAGCGAGGGAGTTGTGGGTACGGGCGAAGCACGGGGGAACGCGCCGTGGGATTGAAGAGTGACCGGGGAGGAACGCGGGGGCGGAAGGAATATGAAGGAATGACATCCACTACTTGGCCATCAGTGGTCCTGAAATCAGCCACACTCACACCAGCAGGCAGTGGTCTACTTCTGTGGGGGGGTCACAGAAAGCCAGCACCCATCGATCAAAAGGATCGCTGACGTTTTGCTTTCATGTGAGGTCTTTTGCAGGGCCCAAAGATTCGAGTTACTGTGGAGTTACTGTGGTCGCGTTCTTTTTTAAACATGGGGGGTGGACAGTCAGTATGGTGTGCACGTTTGGGCCAGTGAAAAAGATCCTGGTTGTGCGTGAACTCTTTGGGGTTGCACGGGAGTCTTCCAATGGCGTCCGACAACTCCAGACGAGCCGATGTTGAGACGAAGCCTGCCATGTTCTGAGACTCATGCGGTCTGATGGGTTGCAAGATATAGTGGTTTGAGAAGTCCAAGAATGACCCGATTGGTCGTCTGGTCCTACATATTGGACTTCAAGTAGACCTGAGGGCAGAAGTCCAATGTAGACTCCTGAGATAGTCCAATAATCACCGGGTTTTGGACGGTTTGTGGGGCCCTTGGTAGTATGCCCCATCTCCTATAAGGTCCAGGTACACCTGACCTCGGTGAGTTCGTAACCGTTGTAGCCTGGGGGCCTTCACATGAGACACCCGGCCGCCGGATGGTCCACCCGCCAAGACATTTGCGACCCCTACAAGATCCTACAAGCCTATAACACTCTAACTCTGTACTACCCGTGGCCCTCGGGAAAACGATGCAAAAAAGGTTTTCACATACAACAACCATACTTTTTGTCAGGGAAAACCATGTTTTTTTGGGATGCTTTGGTGGCACTAGCGACGGCTCGGGGTGCGATGGTGAAAA